TAGAGAGAGAGAGAGAGACAGAGAGACAGAGAGAGACAGAGAGACAGAGACAGAGAGACATTGTTTTTTTCAGACATTTCAGTTAGTTGTATTACTTATGCACAATCTTCAACTTTTTAACTCTCTGACTTTATTTCAGATTTGGTATTACCATCTTCTAAGGTAGTTTTAGTATATATTTTTTAACAAAAGCCTTTCCAAGTCATCTTCTGATTTGTGAGGTGGAAGAAATTGAGTCCTTAAAATTATAACCCCTGAGTATGGTTATCATCTGACTAGAGACTTTATCCCTAGCCTTCCTACAGTTCCCCCTTCCCCTATTTGGTTTATAATTTAAGTGTATGATAACGTGTGACAATTTGAGTAAGCCCTTAATAAGAAAACTTCACAGAGCTCTGAATTATTTTACCTTAAGAATTGATTGTTAACATATGGAATGATCTTTGTGGGTTTTGTAGTATTACCAGCAGGTAAAATTCTTGTTGCTGTTAGATGCCATTGAGTCGGTTCTGATTCATGACAGCCTTGTATACAACAGAACGAAACACTGCACGGGGTCCTGTGCCTTTCTCACAATCTTTACAATTATTCCCATGCTTGATACTGTTACTGTTACATGAGGGGTCTTTCTCTTGTTCGCTGACTCTCCATTAGAAGGTGGTAACCAAAGAACCAGGAGTACTTTGGTTCCGTAGGGTAAGCACTGGACTGCTAATTACAAGGTTGGCTGTTCAAGCTCACCAAATGCTCTATGGAAGAAAGATTAGACTTTCTGCTTCTGAAGAAAGACAGATTCAGAAACCTTATGCAGGGTTGGTATGAATCAAAACCAACTGGATTGTTGAACAACAACAACCAGAGAACCAAAATAGTTACAAAATAATATTTTAGGTTAAAAATAAATTTATAAGTTTCTCTGAAAAATAGGAGGCTCTGATTCTGGATTGAAAGAATATTCTGTAAAGATATCTGAAACCATACTTTCTTCCAAGAGTTGTTTAATTACATGCAGTCCCTGGTTTATGAATAAGATATTTTCCTAACTCTATCTTTAAAGAATTTGTAGGTTAATTGGAACAGGTGCATATGGTTCTTCTTTAGCCTTGCTTTAGTGCAAGGAGAGACTGCAATGCAGTGATTTTATATGTCTTCTAGCCATTGTCTTTGTAATTAATTGCCCCCAAGTGTAAAAGGCTGTGGGGATGGCATCTGACCTCTAATTCATCAGGGATGAGGAGGATCAAACCCTGGATTCCTATGAGGCTGAGGACCAACATGTCTCCACTCATGCTATGGGCCAGGAAGCCTATCTGCTTCATGCTCTGGCTCTTGGTTCTGCTGCTGTTGCCCTCTGTCACTCCTCTGCCGCTTTTCTGGTGCCTTGGATCAAGGAGGTTCAATTCCCAGGGATCTCAGGGTTCAAAGAACATGGTCCACTTCTGGCTCTTCTTTCTTGATGTCTTGATGATAGTGAAATCCCCTTTTCTTCTGAGATGGTTTCTTTTATACCCATGTTAGAGTTCCAAGTTTTTACAATTATAGTTAGCCCTGTTAACAGTCACTCACAACTGAATCATATAATCCTATCAGCATTTCCCACTAACCTTCATTTATCCAAAGTAGTTCTGCTGGTGCTGTTGGATAAGCACTGGACTGCTAACTGCAAGGTTGGCAGTTCAGATCACCAGCCACTTGGCAGGAGAAAGATGAGGTTTGTTCCCGCAAAGATATCCAGCCTTGGAAACACTATACAGGGTCACTATGAGTCTGAATGGATTTGATGGCAGCAAGTTTGGTTTTTTACTTTTCTTACCGAGACCCACCAGGAAATGAGGAAATTCACCCAGTGGTTTAGTGGGAGCACAAAAAACTATGGTTTGAAGAGCATATGAAGTAATTCATTACACTGTGAAAGGCTATTTCAGGATTTTAAAAGCTGCATTTAAATGGTGATTGTGTTGGACAACTTGTTGTGTTTAAGGTTCTGAGTCCTGGTGTGGCATTGTTGGATGAGCACTGAATTACTGGCCTAAAAGTCAGTGGTTCAAACCCACCAGCTGCTCCTTGGAAACCCTATACAGGGTCACTGTGAGTCAGAACTGACTTGACAGTACTTTACAACAGCAAGCGGGCTTGGTTCAGTAGTTTCAAAGTGAAGGCAAATTTGTTGTTAGGTGCTGTCGAGTTGGTTCTGAATCCTATGCACAACAGAATGAAGCACTGCCTGGTACTCGTAATTGTTATGTTTGATTTTTTTTTTTTACAGCCAAGGTGTCATCTTTTTTTTTTTTTT